ATCTGTTATACCTGGTTACTAAGAGTTATCTGTTATAAATTATAAATTAAATTAGAAATTAAAAACAACTATAAAAAATATANCGGTGGTAGAAAAATGTATCTGAAAACATATGTGTAAAGTGGATATTTTTTTATAAAAGCGTTAATATATTAATAGTGTTTAATGTTTACAGGAAAATACACGAACGCTTAGATCGCATAGAAGCAGAAATGAAGTAAGAATTACATCTATTAATATACTATTTATATTATACTATTATATTATATTATACTATTAATACGTGACTTTTTTTTGTCNGTATGATTTATTTGCAGACGAGTAAATTCCATTGTAGAAAAAATTTTTAAATGCGTCCAAAATCGCCATCGCGCACCGCAGAAACCGGCTATTTTTCTCATAGCGTCGCTTTCGGACATGGATGCTTTTGAAAAGATCGACGAAGATGGATATTCCAACGCCGTAAATGAAAAAAGAAATTTTACTTTATTGTATTTATAGTTTTTCTTATATGCAACTATATTAATCTTTGATATGTAGGTAAATTATTTCTGTTATATTGGCGGTTTTAATTTGAGAGAAGCTGTGAACATCTGCTTNAAAGAAAGTTTGAAGGATACTCTCGTGCCGAATTTTACATGGTGGGGCCGTGAAGGACATCGGTCATTATATGATACTCGTCTTATTATGGCGATTTATGGTCGTAAAATCAATTATATTTATTTATGCATAATATTATTTCGTTCGTAACAATAATGCAATTTGTGTTTAATTTTTAGATAGCGTGTGCCAAAACAAATACTTTGAAAAACCAACGCGCTCTGAATTCCAAGTGCAAATGCGCGAGGCATTGAGGATGTCTAAGGAGAGACACAGGAGCAGATCACGCAGGAAGACTGTTCCAAACGGCGGCGGCGCAAAGATCCAACGATGTGATCTATGGAACGACAGGGAATTGAATGAAAGTACGGATCAAGAACTTACAAATGATTAGACAAAGTATGCAATAACTTTAATTTTATTTACTTACTTACTTGTTTTAAGTAACTTTTGCAATGTGACAAATTTGTATGTACATCTTTAGACAATACGGAAACTATGCCACGCGAAAGATTGGGGAAAACTATATAAGTTTGATGAAGAAGACGAGAAGAAGGAGAAAAAACTACGTGAAGAAGACTATATTACTCAACTAGTGGATTGAACAACATATAATATTGTTATTTCTCATATTTTCTGTACAGTAATTAATGAAGCCAAATATGACTAAGACAGATAACTGGTTTGTGTTTATCTCACTGTCAAAACAGCTATCTGTCTCACATAAGTTATATCCAGATTCATTTGCTGGACAGAATGCTTGATCTATATATATATACATATATATATATAGACCAGATCGCTATGAAGATAGACTAAAGATCAGACTGAAGTGTCTGACACTAAAAAGTACCGATTGATATATATATATCAATTGATACTTTTTAGTGGCAAACACTTTAGTTTTAGTTTCTTGATATTAGTATTATAATTGTTACGCTCGTCATAGTGTTCTATACGACTATAATATTAATATTCTCAGTCTTCTTGTGTATATTTTAATATCGTTTGTCGCAAATACAAATAAATGAGTATATAAGTTTTCTTTCTAAAACTATGCTAATTTAAAAGCATTGAGATGCGCGATAAAAATGTTACACTGTGAAAATTAGAGATAGGTTTAAGGCGTGTATGTGTGTATAGCGAAGTTAGAATTTAAATTAGTGTTTAAGACGTCAATACATTATATCTATCTATATATAATTTTAGTA